TGAGCATGTCTTTTCAAGTGATAAGCGGATTGACTTTAGGTGGACACATTGGTCGGGCACGATGACGAGTGCTCTGTGTGCAGCTTTAACTGTGATGATACTTATCTGGCTTCTGGGGGCAACGATGGGACTGTGAAAGTGTGGGAAATTAATAGCGAACGATTTGGTGAGTAATTATCGAGTGGCTGCGTCTTGTGAATACTGTTGTTGTTGCTGTTGTTTTTGTTGTTTGTGTTGCTGTTGTTGTTTGTGTTGTTTTCTGTGTTGTTGTTGTTGTTGTTGTTGTTTGTGTTGTTGTTGTTGTTGTTGTGGTTGCTGTTTTTGTTGTTGTTGTTGTTGTTGTTGTTGTTGTTGTTGTTGTTGTTGTTCCTTTGAAAAGAACAACATGACGAACAAAATAAGACAGCACACAGTAAAGCAACAAAAGGAATCCTTTTGTCTTAGGCATGCGAGGAAGGTCTCCATCTGGGAGATGTTGTTGCACAATAGAAGCTCATTCGGAAGTTGTCACTCAAGTGGTTTGGCGACCAGGATTCCGAACGCAGGTGACGGGAAAGGTTTCTGGGGAGTAATTTATTTTCGTCTAGAGAACTGATGTGGAAAAATTTGTTCCTGTTGTGGAGTTCTTTTCGGTGAACTTCAACTAGGAGATTCACAGAGGCAATTGTTATTGTGCTCAGGTTGTTTCTGGCGGGCACGATAAAACAGTGGTGATTTCTGACGTGGAGAAAAACAGAGTGAGGAATTTTTCCCGAGAGGTTATTCTCATTTTGGTGTATATTTTTAACTCAATAGTTGAGAACTTTGATGATGAGAGTTTTCATTAGCTTTATGAGGCGTATTTTCGATAACCTTTTCTCGTCATCTCAGTCGCCCTCATATATTAGCAACGATCATGGTGAGGGAGTAGGAAGGAAAATTCAGCGCCTATAAGAGGCGTATTTTACGATTCTGATAGCCGATGAATTCTCCTGTGCGCTGCGTGCAGTATGCAAATATACGTTACTTGCCGAGATTAATGAGGATTGAATTTAAACTATATCGCGTGAACAATACTGTGAACATGTGATGTGATAATGGTAACTTTCCGAGACAGGTTGTTTACTATCATTAATTTCGGCATTTGCATATCAAATTGGCACGCACTGTATTTTCGAGAACCTTTCCTGCTAATCTCGCTCGCCCTTATATATCAGTAATGGTGGTGCCGGTTTGAGCCTACCATTACTTTATCTATATTCGGCCGAAACTTCAGGAAAATTGATGAGCGTTCGAAAAAACCTGAAAAAAAAATTGAATTCGAACCGCGTTTGGAAAAAGCCGGAAAATTTGATGAAAAATATTGATTTTTTGGGTAGAAATGGGGACAAGTTTTGTGTGATGTGAAGTGTTTGTTTTCGAGATACTCTTCACAGTGCGTCTCAGAGGAAGAGTGCATGATATTTGCTTCGCTCCGCCCTTGGATGGCAGTTTATGGATAGCATCTGGCAGGCAACTTGCTGCGATAACGGGGCTTGGTGGGGATTCGCCGAGATCGTCTGCTGGACCGGGCAGTGGCTTTACGGTGGGTGGGTGAGAATTGAAAATAATCAAGTTAGTTTGTTGCTTTTTGCTAAAGAGCGTTATTTGTGGAAATCCCAGAGCGTGTGCTGTCGCTTTGTCACATTTTCTGTGTGTTCATTCGATCAAATTAGTTCTCAACGACTACAGCAGTTGAGCTCTCGAGAGAAATACCATTCGGAAGAGTATAGTTCGAAACTGCGATGTTAGTGGAAGCTGGTGTATTTATGAGATACCACGCCTTTCCCAGATGCTGTCTGTGGCCGGGTATAGATTGTCACTGTGATGGTAGGATAATTTGATTTACAGTGTGATGAACTAAACCGTTATGCAAAGTCGTATTTTCAATTTTGAGTAATATCAACATGATAACAATGTGAATCGATTGACACCACCGTTTTAGAAGCGTTCTGTAGTCTATAGTCGTACTTGGTTTGCACTGTAGGTGTTGTACAGAATTAATCATTGTGAAAAAAATATATTCAACACTTTCAATTCTCGAGAGTTAGAAAGTCGACTTTGAGTAATATCAACTTGATAACAATGTGAATCGATTGACCCCACCGTTTTAGAAGCGTTACGTAGTC